GTGTGTGTGTACAGTGTGTGTGTTATATGCAGTGTGTGTCCATGTGTGTGGTGTCTGTATATGCAGTAGGTGTGTAGTGTATATATGTGTGTGTATATGTTATATGTGTGTGTACAGTGTGTTATATGTGGTATGTGTCCATGTGTGTGGTGTCTGTATATGCAGTAGCTGTGTAGTGTATTTATGTGTGTGTATACGGTATATGTGTGTGTATAGGCAGTGTCTATGTTATATGTGAGGTGTGTCCATGTGTGTGGTGTCTGTATATGCAGTAGGTGTGTAGTGTATATATGTGTGTGTATATGGTATATGTGTGTGTACAGTGTGTTATATGTGGTGTGTGTCCATGTGTGTGGTGTCTGTATATGCAGTAGGTGTATAATGTATATATGTATGTGTATATGGTATATGTGTGTGTATAGACAGTGTGTATGTTATATGCAGTGTGTGTGCATGTGTGTGGTGTCTATACATGCAGTAGGTGTGTAGTGTGTGTGTGTGTGTGTGTGGTATCTGTGTGTGTATAGACAGTGTGTGTGTTATATGCAGTGTGTGTACATGTGTGTGGTGTCTGTACATGCAGTAGGTGTGTAGTGTATATATGTGTGTGTATATGGTATATATGTGTGTATAGACAGTGTGTATATTATATGCAGTGTGTGTACATGTGTGTGGTGTCTGTACATGCAGTAGGTGTGTAGTGTATGTGTGTGTGTAGTATCTGTGTGTGTAGACAGTGTGTGTTATATGCAGTGTGTGTACATGTGTGTGGTGTCTGTACATGCAGTAGGTGTGTAGTGTATGTATGTGTGTATATACGATATATATGTGTCCATCTGTGCAGTATGTGTGTATATATCCAATGTGATGCACTGTGAGCTGATTTGTCTGCCTGTGACACTCTGATGTCTATGAGAAGCCCACAGGTACGCTGCACCAGGGAGGGCTCTGACCGAGGAGTCTGACTCTGGTTCCCCAGGTGGGCACAGAGCTGTTAGCCCCCGGCTGCCCCCCTGTCCCCTCCTGCTCGCTCAGATGCCCGTCACAAACGCTCTGTGCACCGAGTGGACCGAGCGCCTGGCCCCGTTTCTACCACCGTGGATATCTTCTGCTCCATTTTAATGACCTCCCATTATTCCAGCAGAGCAGCAGAACCCTCCTCCTCATAGTCCTTAATCAGGGTGAGCCCCCAGCTCCGGATCCGAGGCCCTAGCCTTCCCTTCAAACTGGAGACATGCTTCAAATGGACCAATGTCCCTGAGGCTCAGCTTGTCACCCTGGCCGACGGGGCCTGTCATGTGTGAAACCAGTGGCTGATTCGATATAAATGACACCAGCAGAGATGGTCTCGAATTCTCAGAGATTTCGACACATGATTTATTTCTCTTTCTTTTTTTAAAAAACCATAACTAGAGCAAACTATAGGACTCCCTTTCAAAACTCGGCTGGTTAGACTGCAACGCTGTGGAAAGGCTTGTGTATGGAAGACGCGGCCCACGGAGAGAGCGATCAGGTGGTTCAAGGGATCTAGTGTTAGTCTGGTAACACTGAAATTAGCAAAAGGCGTCGCACGGCCTTTCCTCAGGGAAGAATTTCTGTTTTAAAAAGCACACTTATGTAGCCAGTGGTTACGAGTCCACGCAGACTCACAGCGACCCTATAGGACACAGAAAACGCCACCAGTAGGACTTCTGTGACTGAAATTCAGTGGAAGCAAACACCCTCATCTTTCTCTCCCAGGGCAGCTGGTAGATTCAAACCGCTAACATTTCAGTTAGCAGCCTGATGCTTAATACACTGCGTCACCAGTTCATCTTAAAAATATGAATTGTTGTTGTTGTTAAGTGTTGTCGAGTAAATTGCAACTCATAGTAACACTGTATAGGGTTTTCGAGGAGAGACTGGTGGGGTGGAACCCCTGACCTTGTGGTTCATAGTGCACTGCTTAATCCTACAGCACCACACAATATAACATCTTATAAGTCTGTTTTTTCTTTTACCTCCGGAACTTGTAGTGATATCAGAGTAAATGCTTTTCTGGAGTCACACTGTACCATTGCTGAGTAAATTCTACATCATGATCTTCCTCATGTGTGTCAGAGTAGAACTGTGCCCCACAGGGTTCTCAGTGGATGATTTTTCATAAGTAGATCCCACTCATGGTGTCCCCGTGTGTGTCAGAG